AATATGTTAAAAACAGCCAAACTTTTTAATCATCTTTAAAAGCCACCACAGAAGCAAGCACACTATAAATCAAATAGTAATACTGTTTTTGCAGCCCAGTTCAAATTAACTGTTAAAAGTGACTGAGGGAAAAAGGGTCGGATTCAAAATATAAAGCTGGAGTTTGCCTAATATCACATGGAATTGAATTTCCTAAATGTGCTGCTGTGGCCAACAATGTCCTGTTCTGTGTGCTTGCCAATCTGATTGAAACCAGTTGTCCAGGAAGGAGTAGTACTACTTAGACCCAAACCAGACAATTGACTGATAAGAATACCATGGTCAACAGTTCCGGAGAACCAATAGGGCTGTGCTCCTTGCATTCATATTCCAGTGTAAGTTAATTACCTGGCTAGCCAAGGTTGTTTCCATCACAATACTAGGCTGTGATTATTAGCTCCACCAATTTTTATCTCTTATTAGTAAAGTATTGGCAGGTATCAATTAATCTGTTCCAGCATGTGCAAAGAGTTCTTAGAACCCTGCTTCCTTGCCAGTTTGGTGCTCAGAGTAGATTGCTTTATTGTAATGTATTATTTGCTTTTGGGTATTTCCACCCTTTCTCCAGTGGCCTTACCGTGGGCGACCTGAAGAAAAAGGCTTTCTTTATGAGATAGTGGCCAACAAAACAAGTGGCATCGATGTTGATAAATGGGATTACTTTGCCAGGTATGGACCTTGCTCATTTTAAAGCATTTGGAAGATTTATTTTATAGATAAACAATACTGGGAATATTTTACCTATAGACAAACCAATTAGTGGAATATCCTATTGGTCCAAGTTAAATGGGATATCTATCTTATCATTAAAAACTCTTTATCTATCTTTAAATACTGTCATACCATATAAACCGTATGCTTTTTGGTTAACCCTGTATTTTGTTATATTGAAAACTAATAAAAATACATGAAAAAATATTTCTAAGTGAGAAAGCCATATATACAGTGTGAGCAGGATATAGACTATGAATGAGGAACCTGTGACACTCCAGATGGTGTACTCTAGCTCCCATCAACCTCAGCCAGGATGGGCAATGGTTGGGGATGGTTCAGCAACACCTGGAGCACCCAGTTCTCCCACCTCTCATATAGAGAGATACCTAGCCCAGGTATTTCTCTGTGTACATGTACTCCATGTACTTTCTATGATTTTATTCTATGGTCTTGTGTTGTTGTAAGCTGCTGTGATATATTTTTTGATGCAGGGCATATGAATATTTTTATAAATAAATTCAGTATCTATATGCAGCTGCTGGGGGTGACCTCTGCAAGATTTGGGGCAAGGCAGCACCATATGCTGATGATACCCAGCTGTTTCTCTGTAACATATGAACCAAGAGAAGTCATGCATATTTTAAACCAGTGCCTGGGCTAGATGAGGGCTGGATGGAAACCCTATGGATGGGCTGTTCAGCAGTTCTGAGGGGTTTGCATTCCCTCTGAGGGTTGTAGTCTGGGGGTGCTCCTAGATCCATTGCTGTCACTAGAGACTCAAGTGACCTCAGTGGCTCATTTTTGTTGCTTTTATGGAAACCACTTGGAGATTTTCACTGTCTTAAGCACTTTAAATAACATTTAGCAATATTTTTCTAACTAAACAGTGACTTCGTTCTCTGGTTTAAGGCTCTTGGTTTTTCCAGGAGAGTTGTAAGCCAAGCTATGGCTTAGTGCAGCAGAACAGCCAGGGAGGAGCAAAGCAGCCGCAGGTTCATGCTAAACCATAATTTGTCTGAAGATAATTGCAGTTGCTATTATGGATGTGTGTCTGGAGATTGTATATCTGTATTTTGGGAATGTGAAAAAAATAGAACCCTTTGGCAATTGATTTTTAAATTATTAATACATTGAGTAAATTGCTGGATATAGAGTCTCAAAGAATCCCCTGAGAGTCCTTTTACATTATTTAAAGGTGAGGCCCCCAGTGGAGACATCTTCCTGATCCCTCCCCCTAATTTTAAAATGCCCCCTCCCTTTTCCTTGGTCCATGCAACTCCTCAATTTGTAATTGAATGACCTTACCTCCTGCCTGTTTCTGGAATATATTTAGGGATTGTCACCATCTTGGAATACAGAACAACTTTGATCACGTACGCTTCATTAAATTTGCTCGTGTCTGTGAATTTGAGGGAAAGAATCATATTTGTACCCGTGACAAGGTAAGCTTTCTTGAGGAAAGTAGAGAATGCCAACTAAAATAGTGTTGGCAGCTTGAAAAACTCGCCGTCAAATTTTTGTCTATTTCGTTCTTCTATCCCCCCCCCCCTTTCAGGGAGCTCAAGGAAACACTGTCTCATTTTGCTGTCACTCAGTGTTGAGAGGTAAATTAACCTGAAAGCTAATGTTTACACAAAGCCACCCAGTGAGCTTTATGATTGTGGGTATAATGAGTCCAGATGGAGATAAACTTGCAGTCTGCTAGTGCTGCATAAATTGAGAAGTGCACCTCCAAGTGAATAGGAGACAGTGCAATATATGTTTTCTCTGCTGTTTGAGAACAGAAAGTTTGAGGGAAAAACTGAATTTTGGGAGCACGAGGTATTGGCCAAGCCATTACCTTTCATCTCAACCAGCCTCACTACATGTAGGGAGTATATAGGCTTACTATAGCATATGGTTGACCATGTGGTGATGGGTTGGAGTTGGTGTTTAAGGGCCATAAATTAGAACATAAAAAGAACCCTGCTGTTGAAAAGTACGTTGAATTCAACCTTGCGTTCTTGCCATAGCCAGCCAGATGCCTGTGGCTGGCCCACAAGGAGGACATGAGCAGAACAACATTCTCCTGCTTGTCATAAGCAGAAACTGGTTTTTAGAGGCATAACTGCTTCTGATAATGGAGTTAATATAGCCATCATGACTATAGGTTTAGAGATAGTGGGTAGGGAAGGTTTGGGTTATCATGGAAGGCAGGTACAAATCGTTGCAGTCTATTCTCTCTAGTTCCAGCATGTTAGGTAGATTTATTGCTTTATTGTTCGGCGTCCGGCACGCTTCCCCTGCAAGCCTCTGCAGGTCATAAAGCAATTAGCAGAACTGCACAGCGTCCGTGTTGAAAGGGCAGTAAAACAAGTCCCACATGTTTCTTCTGTACTAATAGCACTTTATTTGCTCAAAAGTAGCATATTTACAAACAAGAATTCCATCTGATTCAAGCTGCATTTTTCTCTGCGTCCTTCTCTCTCAGTGTGCAGCTGCGTAACAAAACTGCTTTCACTTTTCACTCAGCTCACAGCATTCCAAGCAGCTTTCCGCACGTCCTGGCTTACTTCCCTTGTAAGCTCCTCCTCTCAGCCTCGAGACACAGAAGGTTAACCCTTCACTACACCCAGTGGTTGCTCTTCCACTGTGCTCCCTGGTCTGTGCAAGTCAAGTCGCAAGCAAGGCAGAGTGCTTAAAAGCTATCTTCACTCCGGCTCTGCTTAGCGTTGCCCATCGCAAAATGAGCTTTTAAGATATGCTTTGTTTGCTGGGCAAGGCCCACTCAGCACACAGGCTGTGAAAGATTCTGGGGCGCTCTCACGAGATAATCTGACTTCCTGCGAGATCTCACACGAGCATGCATAATCTTCCAGAGCTGGCATGTCGAACAGGCCTTGCCCAGCAAGTTAGACAGAGAGCTTAAGAGCTCTTTTCAAGCCTGGTAACCCAAACGGCCCAGCACAAAATGAGCTTTTAAGGTCTTGGCCTTGGTTGCTGGGCAAGGTCTGTTCAACACACTGGCTCTCTGAATCCTGGGGATGCTGTCTCTCACCCGCTTGCTGCAAGGCAGCTCCAAGGGTTGGCTGGCTATATGTGTGCGTAAGATAAGGGATTACTGTATTTTCATTAAGCGGAACAAAAAGGAAATGTAACCCCACAAGCTTGTAGAAGGCAACGCTCAATACAGAAGCAAGGATATCATCCACCAAGTTATGAGCATTCTGCTCTCATGCATGCAAGGAATCATCTTATCTCAAGGATCCTGTGCTTCATGCACTGCTCCACTTTCCAGGAGCCCCCATGAGGCCTCTCCACATAAGCAGAAAGTAATCTTAATTGCAAAAATGATTACTCTAGTGTTCTGGAATACATTTTTATATTTCTTGTGTATGGATTATTTAGAAGGGTCTAATTATTTCTATGTCCAGGAACCTTTTTTATTTTATCCCTAGTTGTTCAGCAACAAACAACCAATGATGAATTAAAGTACAAGTCTTGGAACTGTGGTTTTAATATAAAAGATGAATAAAATACTTTTTATCTTGGACTTTAGGAGGTTGGAAATTTGTATGACATGTTCCACACACGGAATTGCCTGCACCGCAGAGCCTACCAACATAAAATTAGCAACATCATTGAAACTATGTAAGTAAGTGCATGTTGATATGCCCTAGACAGGGCAGTAACCAAATAAATCCTAGCCAATCTTACATTAGTTGATTAATTACATTTGTATGAGCTTGCATATTAATTCATTTTAATAATATATGACTGAAGGAGGAATGCTTCTTCTACAATGGTGCTTGCCAGCTACAAATGATTTTTAAAGAAGTGTTGCCTGATTTATTTAGGGGTGTGTTTTAATTCAACCAATTTGAATTTAATTAATTTTAAAAAATTAATTAATATTAACCAATTGATCTATTAAAGGTTGTAGCCCTAGTTCTGGAGTGTCTTATTGAGAAACTCTGTTGAATGTCCCTGTCCTTCTCCTTAATCGTTTTTCAAAGTGGATTTTGATGACTAGAAAAACAGTGGTGTTTTTGTATTGCTCTTTGCTACCAGTCTTAATCTGGAAAAGTTTATTTCCAAAGCCATTGTGAAATCCTTGATCTGGAGTTAATATTGAATTTATGGATTCTTCCTCATTTGTGTTGCATGTTTCATATCAGGATTACAGATGCCCTTTTGAAAGCTAACCCACATATCCACATAAAGGGATCTGGAGGGAAGATTACAATATCGCTACAGCGCGAGAAGACATGGAAGCCTACACTAAGCTAACAGGTATGGGCTTATTGGACTGACACCTAAATTCTAATTGCATCAATTTTGGAAGCATTTCTGTCAGGGTACCATTTTGTTATGGCACTTAAATGAAACATTGTACATTGCATTATGTAAAAGAGTTATATATTCTGCTGTATGCATATGAAGGAAGTGAAGTCTTTCTGTCACTAGGTTTGAAGAAGTAATAATTTATTTATAGTATAAGAAACGGATTTGTTCCCCTGCTTAACATCTCTCCAGAAAACTAGGATTAGGTATTGCAAACTTGCAGCATTTCTCTCCTATTTATAAATTGCACATTCTGTGTGTAGAAGATGAGTATAAAGGATGGCTAAAGGAAGTCCCTACAGATAGTACAGGCCTCTGATGCATGCCAGAAAAAACCCTCTATGTATGTTTATAGGATTACAGTCCTGCCCCCCCCACCCCCCCCCAAAAAAAACCCTGGAGGGGATCAAGGACGGAGCTTGTGCACAAGAGAAAGCAGCACATAGAAGTGAGCTTTCACTTTCCAGAGTTGGGATTTATGCTGAAGGGAAGCAAGTGGCAGAACTATCAAGGGTGAGGCCTATGGCCACACATTTTCCAAACTTCCCCCTCTCCTAGTTTAAATTAAGGGGTGGTTTGGGAAACAGAAAAATAAAAATTGCCTCCTCGTTTTCCCTGCCTCTCTTTACCCCTCTGTAAGCCGTTAAAGAGCTTATCAACTTTGTTTAATTTGAATAGGTTGATATATGACCACTTATGCAAATTCTCTTTTTGATTTATTGCTCCTGTAAAATCTTGTTAGGATGGGTGTGTATTGGATGGTGTTGATTCAAAACTGTAACCAACATTTCTTGTTCAATACTCCTGTTGTCTCGGGCTAGTGAGAATCCTGGAGCCAATGTGACTGAGTATAAGCAGAGGAGGAGGAGGTGGAGGAGGAAGGCAGGATAAAACGGAAAGCAATGGAGAAAGTGAAAGGAAGCTATGAGGGTGTATAGATTTCTGGTTACTAGTGCTGAGCCCAGGTTTTTGGTGGTTCTTGGACAAGATGCCCTCAATATACCCCTCTACCTCAGTAAGTATGTCCCTTCACTCCAATGATGGCAGCTGCTCCTCTGCCTCATTATTGCTAGCTGCCTGCTTGCTGGCCAGAGGAACCCAATGAGCAAGCAGGCCGTGGCAGTTACTACTACTCTTTCTTCCCACCATTGTAATAATAAGAATAAGAATGAAAAATAAATAAATAAATTATACCCCTCCCATCTGGCTGGGTGCTGGCTTTCCCCAGCCCCTCTGGGCAGCATCCAATAGAGGACTAAAAACACAATAAAAGATCAAACATTAAAAACTTCCCTAAACAGGGCGGCCTTCAGATGCCTTCTAAAAGTCAAGACAGTTGTTTATTTCCTTGACATCTGATGGGAGGGCGTTCCACAGGGTGGGTGCCACCTCCAAGAAGGCCCTCTGCCTGGTTCCCTGTAACCTCACTTCTCACAAGGAGGGAACCTCCAGAAGGCCCTCGGCGCCGGACCTCAGTGTCTGGGCTGAACGATGGGAGTGGAGATGCTCCTTGTTCATCTCCTCCACTTTGGAGCAAGACTCAGATGAACAAGCAGAAAATTGTCGGGGGGGGGGGGAGGTCATGGAGAGGTGCATTTTAACAACGGGGAAATAAATGCTTGTTTGAAAGTCCAGCCTTTTGCCCTTGACCCTTATCACCTTTCTAATCCCAGTTGTGTGGTAATTAAAGTGTTATTTACTTGTAAAGTGGGACGTGGGTGGCACTGTGGTCTAAACCACTGAGCCTAGGGCTTGCCGATCGGAAGGTTGGCGGTTCAAATCCTTGCAATGGGGTCAGCTTCTGTTGTTCAGTACGAGCTCCTGCCCACCTAGCAGTTCGACAGAACATCAAAGTGCAAGTAGATAAATAGGTACCGCTCTGGCAGGAAGGTAAATGGCGTTTCCGTGCGCTGCTCTGGTTTGCCAGAAGTGGCTTAGTCATTCTGGCCACATGACCCGGAAGTTGTCTGCGGAGAAACGCTGGCTCCCTCGGCCTATAGAGCGAGATGAGCAGACTCTTCTTGTTAGGACTATGTTAGGGCTGCTTTCTTTTGCGCTCTTTTGGTTTATGAGTGGACATTTTTGATGTGTTTCTTAAAATGTTATTTCCTGATTTGGTTTCATTTTATGCACATTTTACCATAAGCTACTTTGAGGTTGTTGGGCTTTGATTTGTTTGAGGATATCATTTTTCAAAATGTTACCTTCTGGTGCCTTTCGTTTACTGCCAAAGCAGTTAGAGAAGAGACCCACAGAACTATATCTTAACCCTGTTGAGACACAGCAGAATCTGACTGTTGAATTGAATATGGTCTTGTGAGTTTCGTTTTGCAGATATGTAAAAGATCATTTCCAGCTGACTACAATTATAATAGCATAAAACTTTTTTCTTAAATTCTGACAGATAATACATGTTTCAATTATGCAGAAGAAAAGCTGGCTTTAATGACTTGATTTGTTTAATACTGGCAGATGAGATCTTCTTAAGGATTCTTCATTCTGATGAGCCCAACCTCAAAGAAGCACGGAAATTTTATGTAAAATAGAGCGGCGTGACCTGTATAAGTACCTGGGACAGACTCAGCCCCGAGAGGGCAAGGAAATTACGAAGGTGGGCACAGTTTCGCAAATTACATTGGTTAGTTAACTCTGCTAGCTTGTTAAGTGTGGTTAAGTACAGTGGTGCCTCGCAAGACAAAATTAATCCGTTCCACGAGTATCTTCGCTTGCGAAGCAACCCTATTAGCGGCTTAGCGGATTAGCGCTATTATCGGTTTAGCGGCTATTAAAGGCTTAGCGGCTTAGCGGTTTAGCTGCTAAAAGGCTATTAAAGGCTTAGCGGCTTAGAAAAAGGGGGGGAGCGAAAAAAAATCTCAAGACTCGCAAGACATTTTCGTCTTGCGAAGCAAGCCCATAGGGAAATTCGTCCTGCGAAGCGCATTGAAAAACAGAAAACCCTTTCGTCTAGCGGGTTTTCCATCTTGCGAGGCATTCGTCTTGCGGGGCACCACTGTACTTGTTAAGTACTGGTTTTTTCAGTACCAATTTGCTTATCTCTGGCTTCTATATCTCTCTTTACACACACACACACACACACACACACACACACACACACACACACAACAGCTCCCTCTCTCTCTTTCTCTCTCTGTCCTTCACAGATCACTAATCTCTCCCCTGCTCCCCTATCTTGCCGCAAATGCCTTGCAAAAGCCTGCCTGAGCAGGTGCATGGTCCATGAAGCGCCTGGGGAGGCCATCTCGTGTTACTTCTCTCTCCAGCCACGCCACAATGCAGAAACAACATCTACCACTTTCTTTACCAAAAAGAACCTTTGGAAAAGCCCACACCTTCTTTGCCAGCACAAGCTGACTAGTCATGATGCAACTGAGGGCAACATCCTTGTTGCATTTCTCTCCTGCTCCCACGTCCAAGCTGCTGAAAAAGTCCACTGGAGGCTGGGAAAAGCCTGTCCTTCCCTGTCCTTCCCTATCACATGGGCATCCTGCATGAAGTGAGTGAGGAAGGCATCCCCATTGTTCCTTCCCCTCCCCTGAATCCTGAAACAAATTGCCTTTCTGGGCAGTAAAAGGAGTGATAGCCACCACTCTACCTCTCCTCTCTAGGCCACCTTTGTCTCAAACTGCACAGGCTAGCAACCTTTTATCTTCTTCCATATATCCTCAACATTCCCTCCAAAGAGTAGACATAGGATTGTATTTGCAGAGTGGAAACAGGCATGCTCTTTTAACTTCAGAAACAGCACTGCACAACAGAGCAATCAATATAAAGGCCACAGACAGGGCCCTTCTTCAGTAAAGTTCATATAGGTGTGTTGGGGTGCCAGAAGTGGTTTTCATGGGTGCTAGGTTGGTAACCCCTGGATTAAGCATTAAGTACAAGAGCTTCAATAGAGTTACTAGGTTTTTACAATAGTTTGCATCAACTTGTTGGATAACAACAACAATAGTAATAATAAATTCTTACCTCTACCCCGGTCATCTGATTGGGTTGCCCCAGCTACTTAGGCTTTCAACATAATAAAAGCATGGCAAAACATTGAGCATTTCTCAACAATAATAAAATGTACCAACCTTCTTTCCTTTCTCTCTAATGGATAACTAATTTTGCCTTAGTCTGCCTGAAGAGAAGCTATGACAGCATTAAAAGTCATCACTACTGATTGTCATATTATGGTGATATCAAATACCTTATTTGTCACATTGTACAGTGCGTGAGAGAGAAAATTATTTTGAAAATTAATCATGGGTCTGGTTCATCAGTTTCTGAGAGTATGATTCAAATACACAAAAAAGTAAAAGGTTTTATACCCTGCAGGAACGGTGTAGTAAGATGGCTGAAGAAATTGCCAAGTCCCAGCCCAGTACATTATATCACAAGCCTGGATTAAAGCCTGAAGACTTTATTGTTGATGTAAGAATAATCTCTTTAAATGTTCATTTTAAATGTTTTTATTTCTTGATATATGTGCCTACAATGCACTTTAGTACATTTTTATTTTTGACTTGCCTCTGTGAAGGTTATCAACATGGATTATGGAATGAAAAAGAAGAACCCTGTCAATAACGTGTGTTTCTACTGCAAGTCTGACCTAAATAAGGCATTCAGAATTTCTAAAGAACAAGTAAGTAAGGTTGGGGTGTGTGTGTTTCTGCCTGTTTTATTCCGATAGCTTTTAAAGAGTATCTGAATACATGTGAAAATGACTACAGAATTGCATGGCAATAGTAGCAACACAGTTCTAATATCACCTGCTATGTAAGTGGTAATTGAATGCAAGTGTTTTAAGGTAAAATTCCCCTGTGCAAACATTCTTGTAACTGAATGGTGCTGCTGAGAAATTTGTTGAAGCATTTCTGACAAGGTGATAAATTTAAGTGTATGTGACTTCTTTTTCCTTCTGTCTTAAGGTTTCAAAGCTCCTACCAGAACAATTTGAAGAGCAGCAAATCAGGGTTTATTGTAAGGCAGCAGATGAAGAGACTATCTCTGATGCTAGAGAATATTTCGATCAGTGGCGTGAAGGTCTCACTAAATCACAGGTAAGAAAGGTTTAACATTTAGAAGGTGCATCTCAATGTGGAATCATAGAATTGTAGAGTTGTAAGGGACTCTGAGTATCATCTAGTCCAATGCAGTAATATGCAGCTATTCCATACGGGATTGAACCTGCAACTTTGGCGTTCTCAGCACCACACTCTAACCAACTGAGCTATGAGATTCAGATCTACCTCATTCTCTGTATTCTCTGTAAATGTGAGAACAGAGTTTCTGAAGCTTCATTTAACAAACCTAAGGCTCAGAAGAAATGTATACACCATTTAAGAACTATAGATTGGGATAGAGAGATGTCCTTCTGCAAACAGAATGGCTCCTCATCACAGAAGGGACTACCTACTGTAGGAAGCTGGAGAGCCACTTTCACCATCTCTTTCTGTACTGAGCAGATTTACAGGGCCATTGCAGGGGGGAGTTGAATCCCACTCCCTACACCAGCAGGATAGTTCTTCTCAAAGGAATCTTGGATCTATGCCAGTGTTTAAAATGAAGCTGTGTCATGGAATTCTCTTAAAACTTAGGGCTGAAAAATTAAACATTTAGGGCATTGTCAGGTGCTCGGTTGAATTTAATCCCAGCACATGGCACCTGAATCTAGAATTATTTCACCAGAACACACTTTCACCCCACACACTTTCACACGAGCAGAGAGCTGTTCAGAAATATCCAACATTTCTAGTGCTGCAGTCAGAGTACGGGTAGCTAACCTGTGACCTTCCAGATATCAGTGAACTGCAACTGCTATAATCCCTGACTGTTTGCCATGTCTGGTGCTGATGTGAATTGGGAGTCCCAAAAACATCTAGACTAGACTATGCAAGAAGAGACCTCAAACTCAGTGGCTCAATTGTTTGAGCTCCGTAAAATGGGATTAAAAGGGAGCTGCTTGCATCCTGAGCTTTCGTTTTGACATTAAATTGTTTCATAAAAATGGGTTAAGGTAACGTACATAGAGCTATTTTCTCCAAAGCTATATTCAATTGTCAGACTGGTTAGAATTATAATATATTTTGTGTGTCTGTATATTAATCTTTTTTCCTGTGCATATCAGCTGAGTAATAAAACCCCTGATCTTTATTGAATTGTTGCAACAGGGTGCCCCCTTAACATGCAGGAGGAGGAGGACCCAGAACCCAGGTGTGCCCGCCCTTATATAGACATTTTAAATTGCCTGCCCTGGAGTCCAAGACCACCCCCAGAAACATCATACATACATGACATAAGGGGTGTAGCTCAACACCCCCCCCCCCGCCAGACACATCATACCTACATCACACAAAGGGGTGGTCTACAACAGAAATCTGAGTATGTTTACCAGAAATCTGAGTGCGTACTTAGTTCCTGAGCCAGGTCACAGGCTCACCCTATTCGTACACAGATATACCCTTAAGACAGGATTTGTGAAGGAAAAGACAATGGGTAGGCTTTTCCATTTTCCTTTGCAGAGAAAACATTTGGTCAGTTTGGGAGCCAAAATGGCTTAATGGCTGTTTTCCTGTGCTGCTTCAGACATTTGGTTTGTTTGTTTGTTTGTTTGTTTGTTTGTTTATTTATTTATTTATGTACGTGTTTGCTTTGTACATTTGTGTGTGTGTGTGTGTGTGTGTGTGTGTGTGTGTGTGTGTGTGTCTTTATTTTATTTTTTCAAACCCCCCCCCCTTTGGGGCTATAATTTTTTCTTAAAAAAATTCTTTGCCCCACAAAATGTTAACGTAGTATGTTGGAAATGGATGCCTTTGTGTAAATCTGAAAAGTCTTGCATGTCAGGCCCCTTAAGGCTATTTGCAACTGTAGCAGTGCACATAGCTGAACATAGGATATCACATAAAAATAACACATGTTGCATTTTGTTACTAAATTACTTGTGGCATTCTAGCACTTTGGGAGAAACATTTTCTCCATAGTGGTCTATGCTTTACATTTAGCAGGAAGGTCCACCAATGACTGAAAAATGCAGTTTGTTTTGTTTCTGCTTTTTGTCTGTTCCCAAGTGTCAAAGTTAGTTCTCTGGACTCACATCTCCAACATACCCACAGCAACACCTCCTGGTGAATCCCCTTAGGGCTTTCATCTTGACCATGTTGCCTTGTCCCTGGCATAGGTTTGGACATTTAGTGAGAGAGATGTCTTTGCCTTTGCCTTTCTATGGGATTGCATTTTTTTTATTATTGGCATTTGTCTTGCACTCTAGGAAAGTTGCTCAGTTGTTCTAAGGGGACTAGAGAAAGTTCAGTGCACCTGGGATACATGCCCAATCAGAACTGAGCCCAATTAGAATTTATTTAGTCTCATGGTTAACACATTCTAATCCAATGTTAAAACAAAACCATACTTAAAAAAGGGCACTTGTCCAAATTAGTCAGTTTAACTCTATAAGGGATCATTCCAGTGAAATCAAGGCATATATACCTTCATGTATCTGGTGTTTTCATGGACCCTGAAGCTTCTCCTTGGTAAAATGAGTTAAAACACATTTAAAAATGGGTAGGGAAGATTGGTAGAGTGCCAGGTGGGACAAGGAAATGTGGTCATAAATTGATCTAATCTAAATATTGGACTATGCAATAGCCTGATCTATTAGAAAACATAAAATGCATGAGAATCCTCCATTGGGGTGTAAGCAATAAGACACTATACATTAAACATAAAAACAATTACGCACAAAAACTGGGGGCCCCCTTTGTGGAAATAACACACTATCAAACATATTTCAATATTCCTACATAATAACACATAATACACAACAAACCCATTAAATATCAGTCACATATCTTGAGGCAATCGTGATCTTTTACATATCTTTTCAGTCCTGGAGCACAGTCTTGAGGTTTAAAAGTGAGAGAATATCCTTGCAGTTCAACTTTCCCCCCTTTGTCAGCCCCATTCCCCCCTCAGTCTATATCCTTTGGAAAGAGATAGCTGTGGCCACTCTGGTGTCTTTTGTTGTTGTTGCTGCAGGTAATAAATAGCCTTGTAATCAGGAGAAATTGGGCTGAGGGTTTTCCATCATTGGGTCTGCATTAACATCTGTAGAAGGGATACCCTGTAAGGGGTTTTTGGGGGGGACTTAAAGACACAGTTAGAAAAGGAAGGGGCAAAAGCCCCCCCAAAAATAATCTCCTTGAGTTATCTTAGGAAGCTACAAATAATAAAATCTTAGCGTGTTAAGCATTTTATTCATTTGAATATTATTATCACATTTCCATATAATTATTTTTATTATCTACTAAGTTTGTTTGCTTTCCTTCACTTAGTTACTCCACATATACAGGAAGAAAAGGGTAGAAATACAAGAAAGGTGAACATTTAAAAAGAAAACAAAAATAAAAAAATAGATTACCATTTTTAAAAAAATTCCAGATGAAAACGGACTTGACTCAAAGACATCAGATTTAGAAAAGAATTATTATTAAATAATACAAAGATATTATCAAAACCACACAGATTACTACTAGACTGAAAAATGGGAAAACAATGGGAAAAGGCTTAAAATTCACCATGTGCTATCTGATAAAACAACTTCATGAGAATGACTTACATATAGTACCTGATCCCATCCAAATCAGTCAGAATAAATAAATATCAGCAATAGGTTTTGGAGATGCAACAAAATGAAGGAACCTTATTCCACATGTGATGGATATGTTCCCAAAGTAAAAAAAAAAGAAAAAATTACATGACCTATGAGGAACCAAAAATAAATAAATGCTAAAACACACAATTTTAAAAGAAACTCTACGCTTATCTATTTTGGCATTCTAACAATGAGCATCCCAAATGAAAATAAAAGAGTGTTTCTTGATGTGACAACATCGGCTAGAATGTTAATAGCAAAATATTGGAAAATGAGTTAATACCAAAAAAAGATGAATGGCAATTTAAAGTTGTGCAAGTACCTCAAACTAGCCACAATGACAGAACTAATAATAAATATTCGGGCAAACAGGGTAAAAGGGAATGGGTTTGCTTAAAACTACCTGACAAAATACAGTTCTTCTGATCCCAGAAGGAAGAACAGCAAAAGAGGCTTGAGCTCAGGGGTCAGCCTCTTTTCTTTTGGCCTTAGGCCCACCCCCGGCCGGCCGTCCATTGTCCTCCCTGGCCGAGGGCGGGTCAAAGGCCAGCTCAAGCAGGTGGGTGGCACCCGCCCAGGTGAGCCTTGCTTGGTGCCGCAAACCCCGCCCACCTGTGGGGAAGGGAGGGCGGATATTCCAAAACAATACTTGGTTGTGCTTCGGTTAATTTCATAGACATAATGGAAAAACTGATTTAATAAATGAAAACAGATTATTTGTAACTTTAAAAGTTTCAAAGCCACTAATAACAAATGCAATTACTTTTCTGAGAACCTTGGATATAGAATATAGAATATTTAAATTACTGTTTATATCCCTCATTATTATTATTTGTACTGTGGGAGAAAAGAAGGGACAACCACTTTGTAAATGGGGTTGAGTCTTCTTAGAGGTTCACGTATCCTGTTGAAAGGGAAATTTTTCATGTGAAAGCTGTCAGGAAATGCTGTTCCTAAAATGCATAGGCATATACACACAAAACAAAACCTATTATAAAATTCATTTAAATCCCTTGGGGGGGGGGGGAAACTACTCAAGAGAGGAACTCAAAGTGGGAGTGCTCTGATATTTACCTGTGGAAAGAATTCGGCATGTTAGATTTGGAACTTGGCAACCTCTTGACTTTTGAGGGTCCAGTACTTAATCCTATTGTTTTCCTTAAGTAGACCCTGGAGCAAAGGACACATAAGGGTGATTTCCCTCAATGGTTCCAAGTTGTTCATAAAAAAAGTTGAATAAATGTCTCCCTGCAGTCTGCTCTCTCTCCAAACCTCCTTTTTTCTTTCCCCCCTCTCTCCCCCCTCCTCTCTTTTAAGCTGACATAGCCTCTGTGCATGTGCAGAGTTCATGTTTCAGCAAATCTTTTATACCATTAAAAATGTTGCATCTTTTGGCCAAATTACCATTTGAATAAAGGAAGGGAAGGGTAAGGAGTATATTTTAAAATAGGGTTAGATTTAAAACGAGAAGAGAAACTCAGCAATTCAAGTTTTCACCAACACCAGCAATAGAAGTTGGTCAAACTAAATTTCTGTTAACTCAATTCTAAGGGATCATGCTTCCTTCACCAAATAAGTATACCTGCACACCAGGCAAAGGGAATTTGGGAGCACCGCCTCCTTTATGTACAGGAAATTGGGGTGGAGGTCTCTATTAAAAATGTGGGCTAATATTATTTTGTGTGCTCCCCCTCTGGTCATTCGCGGAACAATCACCTGCTCCCTTATGTATGGGTAAAAATGGCCAGAGAGTCAGAATTCATAATAAGATCTTTAACCTTCTCAGTCATTTCAGCCCTACCATTTGCAGACAAAATTTTCTGCCCTTTATTTACAGTGATGGTCAAGGCTCATTCTGCTTGATTATGAATTTGTATGTGCTTAAACTTTGAATAGACTTTGAAGTCTTATTTTTAAATAATAGACAAAATGGTAAAAACTGTTAGATAACAAATGCTTGTTATCACCAGTTCTGCTTCAAAAACATCACGGCTTTCACCTCTCACCCTTTAAAACTCTTTATTCTAAACTCTAAAAACCAATCTTTCCATCTTGCTGTACCAAAAAGCAAAGCTGGGCTGAACTTCAACCCATCACCATACACCAGAACTTAAAAATTACCCTCCAATGCTTGCAGACACATCGCCTTCCACATAGTCATAAAATTAGGAGAGTTGGAAGGAACCCTGGCGTCACCTGAAACAATCTTCTAAAATACAGGGTTCATAGCAAGATTTGTACTACCAGAGAGAGAGAGAGACACATACTTATGTACACAGACACAACTGGGGAAGGAAACACAAGCTATGCTACTATCATGCAAGCACACACGTGTATACTAAGGAAGAGGAAAATAAAAGTACCCAACTTTATCCAGAACCCTTTTAGCAGATCTTAAGATAGTTTGAGTGAGAGTTTACTTCCTTAGACTAAAGAGTGAAAGTTCCTAGAGAAATGATCTTTAAAGAAAGATACAAGTGAACAGTTTTCCTAAGATTAGATAGGGAGAGAATCTTTTATAAGGAATAGGGTCAATTCAAGAGATGATATAACCACTCACAAATATTAAAACAGCCATAGATTTGATCTTAAAAGGAATACAAGAGTGAACAATTCCCCCCCCCCGAACTTGCATAGGAATAGTAAGCCTATTTTAAGAATTTAATAACCACACATAGAAAATTGAGATGCGGGGTACCTTTAGCAAACATTGCCCCCTTTGCTGGATCACACTAAAGGCTCATCTGGTCCAGCATCCTGTTCCCGTAATGGCCACCAAATGGCTATGGCATGCCCAGAGCCAAGACATGATAGTAACAGCCCTCCAACAGTGGATATAAGAAAGGAGCCATCATGGCTAGTAGCCAATGATAGTCTTACCTGCTATGAATTGGTTTAATCTTTCAAAGCCATCCAAGTTGGTAGCCATCACTCTCTCTTGTGAGAGTGAATAATCGTAACTCTGTATTGTACTGTGGAAAGCCAAATGGTGAAACCCATACGTCCTGGAAGGCCTGTAAACCCCATCTTGGCAGTCAAGATAACTCCAAGAGTAACTGGTACATGCTGCAAAAGTGATCTCACTTGTTTATCTTTGCTTTGAGAATTTGGCTACTGGCCTAGGGAGTTGAGAGCTGGGAACTTTCCATGCAACCTGGGTGCCTACCACCTATCCCCTCATCTAACAGATGGGTGATTAGGAGTTGGAACAGGCAGGCGTGAATAATTAGGACTGTTGCAGCTCGATTACGTAAGATGTTTCTGTATAAGTAACACACAAAAGGTTTGCCCAAGCACAGACCTTCATGACATGCTTGCTATTTCAGAGTCCATCCTGAGTCATAACAACAAAGAACTCTGCATTGTATCCTTTGGAGCCTCAGTAAACCACTTGCCCAGGTCCTCATATCACCAGCATATTTAGCTCTAGGTAATGCACGAAGGGGTTAATACCATAGAGGAAGCTGTTCTGCCAGATTTAACTAGGTCGCACACCCCTAAACTTGGGAGAAGGAGTTACTGAAGGCCTTTGTTCACTTTCTTCCACCATGTGAATCCAACCAGAAAAATGTATAGGCTGATCGCTGCAAGCCCAGACCACGTGCTTTTTGCAAGTTATCTTTATATTTCTATACAAATAGTTTCAAAAATTGGTAAATATTTCTAGATTAAGTTAAACTGTTTGTGTTTTCTTGCTGCTATATGGAAAAGCACATGAATCTGACCTTTGAAGAGTCTGTAAGCAAACCATTTTTAACTTACCGAACACGTCTTTTTTTAAAATGCTGTGGGAAGAAAGGAGAAGTACGGAAAGAAACTTTACTGCATATTTTGCTATATTAAATCTCTGTTGGGGCTCTCTCACCAAGACGGTATTTGCCCTGAACCTGGATTTAGGCATCTAGGGAATTGTCCTTTTACTCTTTTAAACCAATTGCAAACATTAAAAACAACATATTTCCCACTCTTATTTCCTTTTTGTAAACTGTTCTCTAATCCTCGGGAGCAGATTTTGAGGGCGTGGCTTGGCTTCTGAAAAATAGGGGTCCTCAGCAATTAGCTAATTGGGAACCACTGCCCTAAGGCTTACCTAAAGTAGTACTCTGGATCCTAGCCACAGAAGAAGAGAAGAGTTTGGATTTGATATCCCGCTTTATCACTACCTGAAGGAGTCTCAAAGCGGCGAACATTCTCCTTTCCTTCCTCCCCCACAACAAACACTCTGTGAGGTGAGTGGGGCTGAGAGACTTCAAAGAAGTCACCCAGCAGCTGCATGTGGAAGAGCGGAGACATGAACCCGGTACACCAGATGAGGGGTCTACCGCTCTTAACCACTACACCACACTGGCTCTGCAAAGTCTGACAAAACACTTCCAAGAAACTGAAAGCTTTCACTTTCTGCTTAGGAGAAACGAAACTCAAAGCAGTAGCAAAGGAAAGAGGAAATGAATGCCAGATTTTTATGAGGATTATAAATTTTGTTCAAATTCACAGATTGCTTAAGAAAAGTGTTCAAAAACCCAAAGCAGTTACTTCTGGGTTTTTGGTGTTTGAAAACGGAAATGTTCCGACTTCCGAAATGTTCGAAAACTGAGGTACCACTGTATAAACAATATATGCACACTTGCTTGGGAGCAGACAAGCCAACTCCTTGCTATGATGTCTGTCCCAGGTCTGGCAAAGGTTGCTGACAGGCTGTACGGTAACTCTATACCTTTTTTAATAAAGCACCAGAACTGATCACTCTGGTGTTTTCGGCCACCTTCTTTGGTATCCCTGCACCCAACAACTTCCCAGAGCCCTCCTCTGGGCCTGTGGTTTGGAACAATTCATGAATGTATTTACAGTGGTACCTCAGGTTAAGTACTTAATTCGTTCCGGAGGTCCGTACTTAACCTGAAACTGTTCTTAACCTGAAGCACCACTTTAGCTAATGGGGCCTCCCGCTGCGCCGCCGGAGCACGATTTCTGTTCTCATCCTGAAGCAAAGTTCTTAACCCGAGGTACTATTTCTGGGTTAGCGGAGTCTGTAACTTGAAGCGTATGTACCACTGTATTTATTTGAAATAAATAATATGCACAGCCTTTCAGGGTAAAGCTCCACTCACCCCCAAGTGAGAATTTAGCTTTATGTACTGTTACCTGCCACCCCAATCTCCACGAGCCATACAAGATTCCAGGGGTTGCAGGCCCACTTTACCCCAGGCTTATGTTTCCTCTTGGACAATGAGGCACAGCAGTGACTGTGGTGTCTTTATGAACCTGAACTTGGATAAAGGAAAATCCCACCATCACACCCCAAGAGGGTCCTTTGCTTTTCTCATAGGAGCAGCAGGCTTGGGTCTGCAAAAAAAAATAAGCCATGTTTTGTGTCTTTATTACTGCTTGTCCCAACTATCCCACATGGTGCTCTGCCCCGTGCCCCGCTGCCCATCACTGCTAACCCAGTGGGGAGGGATCTGTTGTTTCCCCCAGCCTATGTCACCCATCCTGGAATCCTAAACCCCTTTGGTTTCTGCCCATAGCTAGATGAGGGGCTCCACCACTCCTTGCCTGGTAGATCTTCACTCTCTTGATGGCTTCCTTGATGGGTCAATGTCTGGCCATCATCAGCTATTGTTCTTCCAATGGCCCCCATCCAGCTAGCTCTGCTGAGCTGGCCTGGCTCCTAAACCAAATCCAGCAGGTTTTTTGTGTTTGGCACAGTTTAATCAAGGCTTGATTATTTCTAATTTTTACTAATTCCAGGATTTATGGGTAAGTTGCACCCACAGACTCTGTCCCCCAAAACAGATAGCAGTACATTTGATTCCAAATTATTTACATTGCAATCTACTTGCAGTGTCTCTTGTCAAGGCTCCTGAATATATTACTTTGACCCATCCATCTGTATGGCCATACCAGTCAATCCACCCAAGTTGTTCCCAACCTTTAAACCTACCCCCACCCTGGCTCCACCTCTTGCCTTGGATCCATTGCCTCAGTCTGTTTTGTATTTATGTTCGAAATATTTTGGAATTTCAACAGCACTTCTTTCAGGTGTGGTTCTGTTTTTGGAGCCCATAAAATCTGTAAGAAAAGTAGTAATCAAGTACAGTAAGTCATGGGGCTGGGTGGAGGGAATTTATCCCTCTCAACTTTTGATGACTAAACATTGAATGAAAGTTTAATTCTTCAACTAATTCTGGTATTATCTCTTTCCCAGACCAGTACTTTGAGTTTCTTTTCTCCTGGACAATTGTTTTCCCTACATTTCAGTTTCCTGAAAATCTGGGCAAAATTGTCTGGTGTACGTGTCCATGCAGACTCAGCTATGTTGTGGCTAGAACCCAAGAATTTTTATCACTGTTCCCTCCCTTATTTAAACAACTGACAGAAAACTGCTTTTGAACCCTGGGCATCTGGTTGTCAATTATGAGAACAGGATGCTGGACTAGAGCTACATTTGTCCTGATCCAGCAGTGCTCTTTTTATGTTCTTAAAAGCCGGTTTAACTTGTTCCGTTAGACAGATTTGTAAAAATGTTTCCAAAGTTGAAGCTCTCCAAATGTATTTTTGCATTAATGGAAATTGGTATTTTTAAATATATAGGATTCAAAAGGAAACATTGGGTGTTCTGAAGCTGAACAAGAGTGCAATGCCAGCAATATGTATGACCCAGTTGTGAACTATTGTAGGTGTAATGGTTCTAGGGGTTGCTCGTGCGTAAATCGGCGCAACACCTGGCTGGGTTGCCTGAGTGAACCCTTTCTGTCCGGACAGCCACTCGCCCGTGGCTGTCTCAATTGCTGGCAGAATCCGTCAGTGGGTGTTTCTTGAACTTCTTCCAGCAAAGAAGTTCTTTGGCGCCAAGTCTCCGCCTACTCTCCCTGCACGGAAGCCTTCTGCGCAGGGAGGGTGTGGGCAGCGGAGGACCCGTGCTCTCCCCGCTGGTCCCCGGTGAGGAGTCATGGAGCCACCTCGCCGATTCCCCCATCTGCCCCCCTTCTCCACTGGTGCTACGCTGATTTCCTTCCCCAGAAGATGTGCTGCTTCTCTCCCTCCCGGGACGCTCTCCGAAACCCCTCTGGAGCCCTCCCTCTCCCCCTGGCTCCGATGGCAGTTCCCTGACATCCACCTCCTCCCCAGGACCCCCTCCACCCCGGCGCGATTTTCCGATATAACCTCGTCTCTTTCCTTGGCCGACGATGCGGGGAATCCCCTGAAGGAACTGTCACCATCCTCTGAGGATTCAAAACCAGCCTTCCACCTGCTCGGATCTCTCCCTCAGGGTGGACCTCCAGTCTGATTCTTCTCCCTCTGACACGTCTCCTCCCTCCTCTTCGGAGGCAGGAAAACCCACAAAGTCCCCTTCGTCGTCTGTGGTTCCAAATTCTTCCTCCCAGAATCTTGCTAGTGGTTTTGGCTTATCCGGGAACAAACTGTGGAATTCTTCCACCAGATACCCGTCATTGATTGACTCAGCGCAGACCCACGTGTTTTCTGACCTGGGTTCTCCTTCCCAAGCTACCAAGTACTCCACCTGGCTACCTCGCCACCTTGAATCGAGTATTTCCGTGGCTTGGTTGCGATGTTCCCTCTCCTCTACCTGCGGGTGGGTGGTGACTCCTCCTTCCGCCCCGGAAATTCCTGCCCCTCCCTGTACAGTGAGAGTAGGGACCTATGGAACACCGGATGTATCTTCATGCTGTCCGGCAACTTGAGTTTGAATGCCACTGGGTTCACCTGCTGTGTTACCTCAAAAGGCCCCAGCCGCCTCGGCTGCAACTTCTTGCACCCTCCCTTTAGGGGTAACCCTTGGGTTGACAACCACACCCGGTCTCCCACCCGTATGGCCTCCCTCTCCCAATGGTGCTTGTCCGCCTGCCTCTTGTAAACTTTCTTGGCCCGCTCCAAGTTCATCTTGAGTTGCTGGTGCAAGGCCTCCATTTCTTCTACAAACTGCTTGGCCGCGGGTACACTCCATGCTTCCTCCCCCCTCCCTGGGAAGGCCCTGGGGTGACACCCATAATTGGCCATAAACGGGCTCATTCCCGTGGACACATGTTCAGCGTTATTGTACGCAAATTCAGCCAAGGCTAGTTTCTCTACCCAATCGTTCTGTCTCTCGCTGACGTAGCAGCGTAGGTATTGCTGGCGTATACTGTTCGCTCTTTCTGCTTGTCCGTTGGTTTCTGGGTGTCTCGCCGTCGAGAAGCTCACCTCGACCTGTAGCAAGCTCATGAGCTTCCTCCAGAACCTGAAAGTAAATTGTTTCCGCGATCCGAGATTACCCTCGAGGGAGCCCCATGCAGTCTGAAAATGTGATCCACAAACAACCTGGCTGTCTCCTCTGCCGTCACCGCGTGTGAGAAAGCTATGAAATGGCACATTTTTGTCAGTAGATCGACTACTACCATGACTGCTGTCTCCCCCTTGACTTGGGCAAATCTGTCATAAAATCAATGGACACCACCTCCCAGGGCCTTCCCGGTGTAGGTAAGGGTTCCAGTAGCCCTGCAGGGCAGCCCTCTCTCCTTTGCCCTCAGACATCGGTCGCACCCCCGTACATATTCCCGTACGTCTTCCCTCACCTTTGGCCACCAGAACTGCCTGGTGACGAGCAGCATGGTCTTGTGCTGTCCAAAGTGCTCAGCTGTTGGGTTGTCATGGAGTTGTTTAAGTACCTTCCCCCTCAAGGTCTCCCCAGGTACATACAGTGCCCCCTTATAGTACAGTAGCCCTTCCTTTTCCTCAAACCCTCCATGGTCTTCCCTTCCGTCCCAGAGTTCCCTGATTTTCGCTTGGGCCAACGCGTCGTCCCTAGTAAGCCCTGCCAGTTCTCGTTTCCCAACCAGCGATACCCCACACACCCACCGGGCCACCGGAAACACGTGTCGGATCTCTGGTGGTCCCTCTCCCTCCAGGTATTCCGGTTTCTGGGAGAGAGCATCTGCTCTTATGTTTTCCTCTCCCGGCACGTATCTGATCTCGAAGGAAAACTTGGCGAACTCCTGGGCCCATCGAATCTGTCTCTGGTTGAGCACCCGCGCGGTCCGCCAGTATTCCAAGTTCTTGTGGTCAGTTCTTGTGGTCAGCCCCCAGGGGGGTGAACATGGTAGTTTTCCATTCGTCCCCCTCCCTTATCCTTATTAAATTGTATGCCCCCCTGAGGTCCAGCTTGGTAAAAATCTTTCCCTGCCTCACCCGTGTCAAAATGTCGTCAATCCTTGGCATTGGGAAGGTCACGGGTTCTGACACCAGGTTCAAGCCCCTATAATCCACGATTAATCTAGGCTGATTAGTCCCTTTGTCCACAAAGAACACCGGACTGCCCCCCACCGCCTTTGATTCCCTTATGAACCCCCTCTTCAGGTTCTTGTCAATTAACTGCCGCAACTCCTGCATCTTCCGGTCGGACACGGCATACAGCTTACCCACCGGCAACTGAGCCCCTGGGAGCAGGTTGATTTGGCAGTCAAAGGGCCTGTGGGGGGTAGTCTATCTGCCTCCCTCTCGCTGAAGACCTCCTTCAGGTAAGCATATTGTGGTGGCACCTCCCCCTCTTGTTCCACGGCCAGCCCAGCCACTCTGGCCACCGTCATTCTTGGGTTCTCCCCTCCCAGACAGTGCCCTAAGCAGTAAGCTGACCCAAAGGTGACTGACCGCTGATGCCATGACACTACGGGATCATGCAGTGCCAACCAGCTCATTCCCAGTATTATTGGGGGTCCTGCCAGTGTGGCCACGTGAAAGGCAATGGTCTCCGTGTGCCTGGAAACCCTCATTCGCATTGGTGGGGTCTGGTGTGTCACTTCCCTCCCAGAAGTTCCCTGCCATCGATGGTTGTCACCTGCAAGGGAAAATCTAGAGGCAACAGGTGGAGTTGGTGCTCCAGAGCGAAGTCTCTGCTGAAGAAATTACACAAGCTGCCTGAATCCAGCAGTCCCTTAACTGTGACAGGGTGCCCATTCGGGAGTTCTAGCACCACTTCTATGGCTATAGCTGCCTTGGGGGGGTCAGGCTGGGGCATTTCTATTGGTCGTTGGCCTGGCTGCTGGCCCTGCTGGTTGGCAGCCAGGCATTGGCATTTCCCTGCGCCTGCCCTTCCTCCCCCTTCTCGTTGTGGCCTGCAGCCCCCACCATCCCTTGCCAGGCCTTTCGTTGAGGGTAGACCTTAGCAAAATGTCCTCGCCGTTGAAAAAGGAAACACTTCTTAGTAGTTTTCCAGTCCTTTCCCTCCCTTTTACGACCTTCACCGGAGTTTGAAACCTCGCGCGCACGCACGCCATCAATTTCCATTGGCTCCGCCGCCTGGGAAGGCTCCCTCGGTATCTCTGGAATGCGGTAGTCATGGAAACGCTCCTCTCTCCTTTCCCGCTTCTCCTGCGCCCGCGCTTCTTGGCGTACGCCTATTGCGAGCACAGCCTTTGTGAGCTCGTCCATCGACCGTGGGCGGGGCGCTCGGGACAACTCGTCTTTCACTTCGGGGGACAGACTCGCCTCAAACAACATTTGCATCGGTTCAGAGTCCAGATCCCACCCGAGCCTGTGGACTAACATCGCAAAACGCGACCAGTAGTTTCTGACGGACTGGCTCCCCTGCTTGCACCCCATCAGTTTCCGCCGTGTCACGCTTTGCTCCACCTCGCTGGAGAACATCGCGTCCATCCCTTGAAAGAATTTCTTAAGGTCCTTCAAGGCATCATTTTGCGTCGCCATTAGGGGCCTGATCCATTCGCGCGCCCCATCCTGCAGATGCCCCACAATGTAAGCCACCCTCTCCCCGTCATCAGCAAAGTCATCTTTTTGCAGCTCCAAAGCGTACTGCACTTCCATTCGGAAAGCATTGTAGTCTTGGGGCTTTCCACCAAACTTGTGTACCAGCCCCGGTACCTTCCTTGCGATGGGGGTGGTTCTGACCTGTGCATCCTGAGCCTGTCTTTCCTCCAGCCGCGCCGTCAGGATAGCTACATGCGTCTCCAAGTCTCGGTTCCTCTCAACCAGACTCCGCACCGCATCTGGTTGCTCCGTCTCTCCGGCTGTTCCTGTTTGGCTCATTGTGCTGCCTCTCCTGGGCTGCGCACAAGCAACGTCAGAGACTGACGGATTGCTGTAATGGTTCTAGGGGTTGCTCCTGCGTAAATCGGCGCCACACCTGGCTGGGTTGCCTGAGTGAACCCTTTCTGTCTGGACAGCCACTCGCCCGTGGCTGTCTCAATCGCTGGCAGAATCCGTCAGTGGGCGTTTCTTGAACTTCTTCCAGCAAAGAAGTTCTTTGACGCCAAGTCTCCGCCTACTCTCCCTGCACGGAAGCCTTCTGCGCAGGGAGGGTGTGGGCAGCGGAGGACCCGTGCTCTCCCCGCTGGTCCCCGGTGAGGAGTCATGGAGCCACCTCGCCGATTCCCCCATCTGCCCCCCTTCTCCACTGGTGCTACGCTGATTTCCTTCCCCAGAAGATGTGCTGCTTCTCTCCCTCCCGGGACGCTCTCCGAAACCCCTCTGGAGCCCTCCCTCTCCCCCTGGCTCCGATGGCAGTTCCCTGACAGTAGGGTACAATGAGGAGAAAGAGAAGTAGTAGTTTAGAATTGCCATCATTCCTTTCTCCATCCATCCATTCCACCCATGTTTATCTCCCCTTATCTCTTTCCATAGCAGCTACATTTCTCTGGTCCTTCCTCCTCTCAACTTCTGGGGAAATGAGCCATCTGAAAAGTGTGATAAGGGGAGATAATTGAGAGGTGGAGAAAAAGTTCTGTGGCCTTCCCTTCTCTGTGCCTATTCCAGCTTCCTCTGACTGTCTGCGGGGTAGGGTTGTCACCTCTCCTCAGGCCTGAAACCCTAATGAAAAGCCTAGTTTATTGGGGGGGGGGAATTGCTGCTGGGAGGGAGCTCCAAAATAAACTCTTGTAACATTTAGAACATTATGTATTACATACGACAGAACGTTAGCAATACTTTTATTAGAACATACTGTCCTTGTAATGCATTAAGTTAAAATTGCTTTTAAGCACGCGGGTGGCGCTGTGGGTAAAACCTCAGTGCCTAGGACTTGCCGACCGTATGGTCGGCGGTTCGAATCCCCGCGGCGGGATGAGCTCCCGTCGTTCGGTCCCAGCTCCTGCCCACCTAGCAGTTCAAAAGCACTCTTAAGTGCAAGTAGATAAATAGGGACTGCTTTATAGCGGGAGGGTAAACGGCGTTTCCGTGTGCGGCACTGGTGCTGGCTCGCCAGCTGCAGCTTCGTCACGCTGGCCACGTGACCCGGAAGTGTCTTCGGACGGCGCCGGCTCACGGCCTCTAGAGCGAGATGAGCACACGACCCTAGAGTCGGAGACAACTGGCCCGTACGGGCAGGGGTACCTTTACCTTTTTAAAATTGCTTCTTAGAAAGAAAGGCAACATATTTAACACTAAATAAGAAACATTTCCCTGGAAGAGTTTAGTTACGGGCAGGGCCTGTAAGTTACTGAAGGAAATGGGGCCCTTTATATGTCCAGCTGTCCTTTATCAGCAATAAATTTTTGGAGTTTTTCTGTTGAATGTATGCTATATGGTAATTTTTGGACCTAACAGGTCTCTAAAGCCATTTGCACATAACATAATATGTCTTTTATCAAAGTAATTGTTGAACTGAAATACAATTATCTTATATTTTGGAAATGTACATCCAGTTTCTGTTTCCTTTTGGGGGGGGCCCCAAGAGTGGGGCCCTAAGCTATAGCTTGTTTAGCTTATATGTAAATCCGGCACTGGTTACCGGCAGATATGGTGTGGATTGCGCAAATGGCAGGAGCTCAAGCCCAGGATGGGGAATAAGATGCCCTCCAAAGGTCTGCAGCTACTGGCCATGCTGGCTGGGGTGTAGCTGTCAACTTTTCCCTTTTCTTGTGAGGAATCCTATTCGGAATAAGGGAATTTCCCTCAAAAAAAGGGAAACGTTGACAGCTATGGGATGGGGACCAACCACAGGTTCCCCATCCCTGAACTTTAAACCCCATGCTTTCCCCCTCACGCCTTTCCCTAAAACTCCAGCTCTGCTGAGGGCTCTGGCTTATCAGCCTCACGCTCAACCACCCCTTGAACTCCCTCCCTCCAAAAACAACACAGAACCACCCAGCATAGACACAGAAGCCGCAAGCCACGCAGGCCGCCTTGACTGGAGGACTGCCGTCACGTGACCCCCGGCCCTGGCGGGAGGCGTCTTGCTGTATGTGAAGGCAAGGCCGGGTGGTTGCTCAGTCTCTCGTTTCTCCCGATCAGGCTGCTGCTGCGCGGTGTCCCTGCCTGAAAGCCGAGGGCGATGTCGAGCGGGAACGGGGAAGGAGCCTTCAAGCGGCCCCGGCCCGCCAGCCCGGGCGACGGCTTCCACACGCCGGAGAAGCGCGTCTCCGTCTGCCGCGCCGCGGATCCCTGCGGGAGTCACCCGCGGGACTGGGGCATCGAGCAGGTGTGCGAATTCCTGCGAAGCAGCGGCTTCGAAGACCCGGAGTTGCTGCGCTGCTTCCGAGGTAAGCGGGGCGGGAGGCGGGACGAGCGGGACCGGAGAGCCGCTTCGCCTACGCAGCCTCGTTGCGCCGGGAATTTCAACCTCGGCGGACCTTAAAGGGGGCGCCGGCTGAGGCGACGCTGCTGCCGCCGCCGTTTCCTCCCTCGAGCGGTTCCCGCTTCCTGACGCCGTGAGGAGAGGCGGTTATGAAGTGGATTGCAGAGCCGGGGCATAACGGGCTCCGTCGCCTGAGGGCGGGCTTGGCTAGTCGTGGCTGCTGCTTTGATTTCGCGGTGGTTCTGGAAAACCTAGGAAAAAGGAAAATAGGAATGATCTCTGATCGCAGGTCGACTAGGGGGCCGACGCAAAGAATATATATATATATGCGTACCCTGGGGAGACTTGCTCTCCCGGTGCCCCAGAGGTTCGTCTTGGCGTAAGTTCCCAAAGGGGAAAGGCTATTCGTTCTGAGGAGTAAGACCCAGGATGGCTTGTTCTGAAGTCAATGGCCATAGGGCTACAGTATTATTATTATTATTATTATTTATTTATTATTTGAATGTATATACCGCCCTATACCCAGGGGTCTCGGGGCGGTTCACAGAATAAAATCAACATTTAAAACTACAAAATACGTAATAAAAATAAAAACGACAACCCAATAATTCCTCCCCCCTAACCCACATTTTAAAAGGGCTGTATGTATTAAGAGTCATTTGCAGCGCAGTCTACTCGGGAATAAGGTCTAGTGAGCTCAGTGGGATTCACTCCCCGATAAGTGTGTTTAGGGTTGCTGCCTTAAATCCCCTTTTCCTTTTAACTTGGGTTGTATTTATTTATTTGATTTATATGCCACCCTTCCTTCCAAAGGAGGAGCACTTCTTTCTCAAACAAGACTTTTAGTTAAAAAGGATTGCAGGCCACCCCACTCTGACTCAAATAACTCTACTCTGGCCTTTTGTCTTTTCAACAGGGAGGTAGACCCACCTGTTTGCCCTCTGGCACAGAGCCGCTGCTCTGCTTTGTTCCCTTAATGATCCATCTTTAGCTGTCCATTGGCATTAACCAGCATTGATATGTTCTGTCTCTACTTGTAATGTTCTCAAAGAATAAGGAAATAACATTGGAGGCACATATTCTAATGGGGGAAAGATACATGCACCAAGTATGTATCAGAGGATCGCCAAAGCATGTGCCATCAGGACACAACATCATTAAAGCTAGAAGTCAGGTCATTTGTTTATCCAGATCTAAAACCCCCCATCACTTTTAATGCATGCACTTTTGGGTTGGGGCAACTAGCTAAAATGTTTTAAAATATTTTTCACAATTCAAATTTTGGTTCCTCTGTTTTCTTTTTGTCAGGTTTATGTTGGTTAAATGTTTAGTTGGGGTTGGCAGTTAATTTTAATTTGGGTATAACTGTAAACTATTTATTATTGTTATTATGTTTTTAGGAGGCTAATTAGGTTAGTTAGCTTATGCCCAGTGCAAAATATTTCAGGTTGCACCAAAGCATACTTGCAGAAAAGAAATTCTGGTGACTCTTCATGTGAAAGTATGAATGAATACTGGCTTATTCCTGCATTGCAGGCAGTTGGACTAGATGACCCTCAGAGTTCCTTCCAACTCTACAATTCTATGATTTGAGGATGATGATGATTTATTTATTAGATTTATACCCGGCACCAAATGAGTACTAATTGGAACTCATGGGTCTCCTGTAAAGCAGGAATCAGAAATAAAGAAGAGTGTTATCGTTCTTAAATAAAAAACTAAAATAAATTTAGATTATATTAGTTATAGCATCAAAGCAGCCACTTTACCTACTGTTACCTAGTGGTGGTTACAGAAACCGCGCGCCCCCCCCATTTGTCTAAGGAGGGAAGCATGTGCTCCAAGTAATACCAAATATGGCTTCTATTGATTATATGATTCTATAACATATTAGATATAACTGTAGGGTCATCTAGTCCAACCCTCTGCAATACAGGAATCTTAACTAAAGCATCCGTGACAGATGGCCCTCCAACCTTTACTTAAAAACCTCCCATGAAGGGAGTAATTTTCTGGTGCAGTGTGTGATGCACAGTGGGCTGCAGCTGGATAGGGAAAACAGGAAAATTCAATGGTGCTTCATTCTAATCTGTCTTTCTATTCATGTAAGACATCTCTGGGTCCAAGAATTGAGAATAGCATAGTTTCTTAATGTTCCTTATTTTTCTAGTGTTTTTCATTTGTCATCTGCCCAGAGAATTTTGAATTATCAGGAATTTCAGAAATATAAATGTTAAGAGTAACGGAATAAGCTAACTGTTGTCTCCTTATTTCCTCAGGGAAAAAAATTGCTGGTTCATCTTTCCTTTACCTCACTGAATCAGAACTTGAAGAAATGGGAATTGGGTAAGGGAAACTTAAAGCTATTGACATTTGAATTTGGCTGCAATCCTATATGTACCCTGGGAGTAAGTCCCATTGAATTTAGTGGGACATACTTCTGAATAGTCATACATAGGCTTGGACTGTTTGTGTTTCTAATTCCTAAATGGATCATTGCTATATTTAGTGCATACCTTGAGCTTTGTACATTTGCTAAAGAAATATAGTTTAGTGACCCTGATCTTTTATCAGCAGAGGAGGAGTGAAGCTGCCTCGATTTCAACAGTGGTTCACATTAATCTGCAGTTCTGTTGCACCGAAGATTTAATGTGACATGCAAACCAAGCCAGTATGTAAAGCATTTTCATGAAATCAGGAAACTGAAACAGGACTTGAACTTGCCATATTGTGTAACATAATTATTACAACATTAATCATCATAACAATGGATGTTACTTTTTTTCTCTGCGATCTCACACTTGACAGATGTCACTAAAACTGTATTAAAAGAATACCTTTAATATTACCATAACACCTCTATTCATACACAATTTATGAAAAACACCTTTTTACACAGAGGGCTACTGGAATATTCTGCAGTTTTGGGTAATCAAACATATTTGTTGTTTATGATGCAGAAATGCACCCCTTCCAGAATGATTTATGGCACTGCATAACATGCTAAGGCAAACCTTGGTTTAGTGAGATGGCACAGGCTTCCAGAGAGCTGCTTATAGCCACTTTCTCCTCCAAAGTTCTTTTTGCTGTCATGCTGCGGTAAGTCAAAATTTTGCTTAACATGTAATCCAGACCAGGGCCCATGGTTAGCCTCTCTACACCCTAACTATTTGTTATTGCTGGTGGTTAGTTAGGTGAGAGGTTAACCATGAGCCCTGGTTTGGATTACATGCTAAGCAAAATCTTTGCTTAGGTGATTGTGGTATAACAACAAAAAGGACTGGGAAGGAGTAAAGCAACTGTTAGGTTCTCTGCAGTAGCCTGCATTTTTGCACAGTCTCATTAAACAAGGTTTGCCTTTGCATGTTGTTTAAATGAGCTTTCCTAGACAAAACCACCATCAAATTAATGAAGCAAATATATGTTGATGACTGTGTGTGCAGAAACAGATGCACAAATAATGGAGCCTGTACATGAAAATGGTGTATAGTCATCTTCTTTTGTACCACATTGGCAAATATTGGGTACAGATTATAGTTTGGAGAAAGTATATTTTAAAACCACTACAGTTTGACATTAAATCTTCATGGAATTGGTAACGTTTAAGAGTATTCGATTTCAGATCTTTTGAAGATCTTTTACTGAAAACTTTAAAAAATGTTTGCACTGAACAGTAGCAATTAACTTAATGTTAGCGTCCACTAGATTATTTAATAAAATATGGAACGGTCAACTTATACTTGATAACTTTCAGGACCGGAGTGAGACAGAACCTTCTGAATTGTCTGAGCAAACTGGGACAAAGGCATGTTGACATAATGAAGGTGAGAGAAGCATTTACATTAATCTGAAAGCAATCTTAGTCTATTCCCAAATCCTTTATCCTTGAAAACCCATGTGGAGGACAGGTTAGGGACCAATAATTTATTTAGGTTAATTACCAATTTACCAATGGCTGTATGATGAGACTATTGATTGTCAGGAGACTGGCACAGCTGAATTTTGTTTAGCCTCAGAGACCTTGAGATCAAAAGGCTCTCCCTCCGCTCCCAGGCCTCTCTTACGCATACCAGGCTCCCAAGTTGTAAATTACTTGATAGCCTCCTTTACCTTTTTACAACCCAATCCACACTCAGGCCCCCAGCTGTGCCAGGGTCTACAAATCAGATAACATCTCATCCTGTCTAGAGTTAAGATGTAATTGACTCACACCTCTGGAGAAGGGGAGTTTTACCTTACTCCTGCGTGATCCAGCGTTTGACATACCAAGATTTTCCAACTTCACTACAGGGTGTCTTCTAGTTTGTCTTGTATTTCTTGTGTTGACAAAGGTTTGTTATTTTTATAGAAGTCTACTGGACGATATAAGCCTTTGGTTTGCCAGGTTTTTATCTGGAGGTTTTGTGCTGTGTGATGGAATAATGGGTGGTATGCCAGGGGAATTAGTGGGGATGGAGTTGGGGATAGTTTGCCTATTTGTTTTCCATGCTTTGAGCACGGTCTGTGTGTACCTGTTAAGTGTTGTGCGAATTTTCCTTAGTTTGGGAGGAGTGGTGCAGGTATTCTGTGGTGCAGGTATTTTCAATTGTGTCCCTCTCTAGGTGTATTCATTGTTTTGCTCATCTTCTAGTATATATGGGATTATATGGCATATTTGGTTGGCACTGTAATATGCTTCTATGTTGGGGATTCCCCATCCTTCTTCTGAGGTAGGGAGGTGCAGGTATTTGGGGCTTATTCTTGGTTTTTTGTGTGAGAAGATAAAGGAGTAGTTTTCTCTGCCATTCGTGGAGTTGGGTTTGGGGAATCCAGATTGGGAGGGTTTGGAATAGGTAGGTCAGTCAATTGCTTTGAGGGGGAAAATCACGTTTTGCTTGGTCAGAAATTCTCCAATGTTTTTGTTTTTTGTTTATAGCTTAGCTCAAAGAACAAATGTATGATTTTTTTCTGAAAAAAATTATCTGAATCTGGACAAACTTCTTATCACATTTCATGTTCTCAACATCTATTTTATTTGCGTGTGCTACTTGTCAGTCAGTTAAGAAATTAAAACCTTTTGTTTTATGGCAGCCATATTGGTGGCATCCGTCTGTCTCAAGAGACAGTGGAGTGTGCCTCCAGGGGTGAAGTCAAATGGCTGTGTTAGCAGCATCAAAGTGACCTTTCCAGGATGCAAGCTTGGACAGTATATATGGAGGTCCTTGGATGCCCAGATGACAAGATCCCACTCTCAACCTCACTAATGTGGTTCAAAGGAAAGCAGAGCAATACATTTGGAACCTGCTTGGCTGCAGGAGTTGCCAGAAGGATGCATACAAGGCGCCATCCAACCATCTTAGGGCTCCACTCTGGATTTTGAGTAGGGTTTACTCCTTAGTCTTTTCTTCTCCCAAAGATATACCTCAAGTCAGTGGAGGATTGGGGTCGGTTTTCCTTCTCCTAGATCAACTACCTTCCCAGGTTGATGAGGTCCATCTGCCCCTCACTTCCCTCTACAACATGTGCAGTATTCACCTTCTTGACTGTGGGACCTATTGGTCTTGTCCACTAAATCTGCTGGAGCTCATCTTGGCATACAGGGGCAGCCATAGATGCTTTTCGTTATCTGGTGATTGTACTAGCTTTTGAGTACAGTGGTACCTCGGGTTATATACACTTCAGGTTACAGACTCCGCTAACCCAGAAATAGTGCTTCAGGTTAAGAACTTCAGGATGAGCTTCAGGATGAGAACAGAAATCATGCTCCGGCGGCAGCGGGAGGCCACATTAGCTAAAGTGGTGCTTCAGGTTAAGAACAATTTCAGGTTAAGAACGGACCTCCAGAACGAATTAAGTTCTTAACCCGAGGTACCACTGTATAGTGAAAGCAAGTGAAAGTTAAAGTGTTTTCTTCTGGTGCTTTTCATATATCTGCAATAATTTTACATTTTGTTTTACATCTTCCAGGTATTTAATGACCCCATTCATGGTCACATTGAAATGCATCCCCTTCTTGTTCAGATCATTGACACACCTCAATTTCAGCGTCTAAGATACATCAAACAATTGGGTGGCACTTATTATGTTTTCCCAGGAGCATCGCACAACCGTTTTGAGCATTCCCTTGGGTAAGGCACAAGTTCTTTTTGCAGATCTGTTTTTCTTGAACTGGTATACGCCACCACTCAGGTTACTGCAGACTGGTTGCGCCTCTGAACATAAGTAATTGCAGTTTCATTGAATTCCATAGCACTGCTACTTGTAACAGGGAGTCCTTGGAGCACCCCACAATCGCCTAACCTTGACTCTCTTAGGTTCAGGTCGGGGTCACAAGCAAGAGACTTCAAAGCAGGACATAGAAGCCAAATAGCAGCCAATAAGCCTGATGTTTATTGTTGCAATAAACTACAATGGTACCTCGGGTTACATACGCTTCAGGTTACAGACTCCGCTAACCCAAAATTAGTGCTTCAGGTTAAGAACTTTGCTTCAGGATGAGAGCAGAAATCGTGCTCTGGCGGTGCGGCGGCAGCAGGAGGCCCCATTAGCTAAAGTGGTGCTTCAGGTTAAGAACAGTTTCAGGTTAAATATGGACCTCCGGAACGAATTAAGTACTTAACCTGAGGTACCACTGTACTAAAAAGATGAAGCAGCCAGAAGCCTCAATCAGCGAGTTACATCAGTATTTCAAAGGTTCTCATAATACATCTTGGGATGCATCACTAAGACATCATAGATATGTCACAGAAAAGGTGTGGTCTCAGAACCTGAGATCCAGGCATGCCCCTGTCACTCAAATATAGTCTTTCACACTTACTCCATCACAGTATAAAGGAAAGTATTTACAGTTTCCACGTCCCTGAGTCAAGTCAAATACACACCTTTGTCTTGACCAGACTTGATTCCACTATGGGGTGGTTAGGCATTGTGATTGAGATGATTATCTGTCTGACACTCTTGGGGCAGAATATCAGTCATGACTGCTTGGGAAGGCCCTGCAGACTCTTATGGTGGGCTCTCTCACCCTTCCCCTTGTACCTCACTTCCCTGGATCCTAAAAGCCATTGGAACTGAGAAGATTGATACAAGTGATTTCTTATGAATTTCGAAAGTTTTCCCATTGATCTAGTACATAGATACATTTATCAGTGAATTGCTACATTTGGTATTGGCACTTTCCCTGTTTTCCTTTGTTGGAGACCTGTTACTCAGCGGTGAGTCAAGGCTCCTGAGCTGAGCTTCCCTTGCAGATGCAATACCTTTGCAGATATGTTGCTGTTTTCTCTTGACACTAGGGGATTTGGTTTGACAGGTGAAAGGCAGGGAAATGTGTGTGAGTGAATGGTTTGGTAATGTGCAGCGGAGACTCTTTTGTCTCTGCCTTGTGGTGTGTGTGTGGGGGGGTGTCTCTCAACCCCCCTTCCAATTTCCCGGTAACATACTTAACTTCCATTAAAGGAGATTTACATCTAATATATCTGTAAAAGTTAGAAGTACCCTTCATCTCATATGCTGGTGTGTTCAGTATTTGGTTTCGTGAGGATGTAGGCTCACCAAACCCAAACTCAACTAAGTAAGCAGATTTTCTGACACTGAGTTTTCCCACTAAAACTCACGAATGAAAAGAAATGCTATTTGCTTTGACAGTAGGGCTGTGTTCTTGCTTGCTTGCTTTCCTAAGAATGCACTTTGTTGGTGGATAGAGAGGCCTGCTGATGTGACTGGAACCTTTTAAAAAAAAGATTTTAAGGCAGCATTGTATGAAATTTGCAGGCATAGTAAGAGAGGAAGTTTAATTGCATTTCCTCCCCTAGTTTATTTTAAGCAATTTCAGCCGAAGAGATGTTTTTTCCCCAGTCTTAGCACTAAGCATCACAGCACTGAAATCAGGGATAGACCACAGCCTGCCTTTTAAGAGTACAAAGCAGCTCCCCCCCCCACTTCAGTGCTGGTGGGGGTGGGGAAAGGCTGCCTTTTAACTTCCACAGAGCCTTCTCTGCAGAGTAAAAAAGCAGCATTTATAGTCATTCTACCCTAGTGCTGGGAATGCTGATTTTGTATGTGTGCACATTTATACATGCATGTTTGTGTGTGAGTGTATGTTTGAGTTTTGGACTGCATGTGTGAGAGAATGAAAGTGTGTGCTATGTCCTGTATGTCAAGTGAATGTGGGTGTTTGTGGGTAGTATGTGTGTATACATTGGTCAAAGCCATCACTGGCATGTGGGCCTTGGAGATGTGGCTGACCAGCAATGTGGTCCTTGGATCAGCCTTGCTCTATAGGTTTGCAGTTCACGAGCTGAGTATGTTTAGTGGTATTTCACAATATATAATGTGGGGCAAGTTTTTATTTTATTTATAACCCTAAAATTCAAGAACTGGAGAGCTGAACCTTTTGCCTTCTTGCTACAGGGTCGGCTATCTAGCAGGCCGTTTGATCCGGGCACTGCAGAAGCGACAACCAGAGTTGGACATCAACCAAAGGGATATTTTGTGCGTCCAGATTGCTGGTCTTTGTCATGATTTGGGTAAGCCACTTCCCAAATATCTTAATGAAGCAATTTGTGCACACTAGGTAAAGATGAACTGCATAATTCTTACTTTCAGGTCATGGCCCATTTTCACACATGTATGATGGAAGATTCATCCCTCGTGTTTGTCCAGGAACTGCATGGAAGGTGGGTATGCAACCAGTTATTACTGCTTTCTTTTTTAAAGGGAATGCTGCCTTGCCTAAAAATATGTTAACCACATTTAACAATTATAGTGTTTTATAGTCAAAGAACCCAGACATTTCCTGAAGTTTTTTGTTTTTTTAAAAAAGTTACCATATTGGTGAAATATAGTCACTAAAATTCCTACTGTTTATCTACCACTCTCTTCTGCCTTAGTCAGACCCCACCTGGAGCACTGTGTCTAGTTCTGGGGGTTGAGGGAGTTGGGTATGTTTAGCCTGGAGAAGAGGAGACTGAGAGACAGTATGATAGCCATCTTCAATTAACTGAATGGCTGTCACATGGGACATGGAGCAAGCTTGATTTCTGTTGCTTTAGCCTTAGCGGGTAGGACCTGAACCATTTGATTCAAATTACAAGAAAGAAGGTTCTGACTAAACATGGAATGGACTCACTCAGAAAGTGGTGAAGTTCATTGGAGGTTTCTAAACAGGTTGGATGACCATCTGTCGGGGATTGTTTACCTGCTTTGCAAGAAGTTGGACTAGATGGCCCTTGGGGTCCCTTCAACCCCACAATTCTTTGAATTTTCTCAGTCCTTTCTTCTCACAGAGATTATGTTCCATTAACCTTTCTAGGGTCTTCTTTCAGTGGCTTCTCTGCTTCATTTGCTGTTCTAAGTACTTTCTATTTTCAGCCATCTCAGGTTATTGAACATTCCATTGCTTATCAGGAATTAGTGATTTCAGCAGCTGAGCTGCAGCAAGAATGTGAAACTAGGAAACAACTCTTCTCCCTCCCTGCTGGTATTTGTTTGCTATTGCAGCAGTGGGAGATCCAGCATTATGCTTGAATGAGGGAACCTGATTTAAAGAAACTCTGGCTTGTTTAACAAGCTAGTTAAATTTGCTTTTTATGGCACTTTAAATATTTTGTTTTAAACCAGAATCCCTGGATAAAATCTGACATTAAGCTGGGATTTTGCAGAAGTGAAAATGAACTCTGTTCAAGCTCCTGTGAGGGGAGCAGGAGCACACACACACACACACACACACACACACACAATGCTTTGCTTCAGGCTCATCCACCTGACATTAAACCATGGCGTAATGTTGTCTTAATGTTTTTGTATACAGTTATGATGGCTTGTTTTGACAGCATATGCTTTGATTAATAATAATTAAAACTTCCTTTTTTGTAGCATGAAGATGCTTCTGTTAAGATGTTTGAACACTTGATTGATTCCAATGATCTAAGACCAGTCTTGAAGTCTTATGGTCTCAAGCCGGATGAAGATATAGACTTTATCAAAGAGCAGATAGCAGGACCCATTAAGACTGAAAAAAGCAGTCGTTCAGTAAGTCTTGTTCTCCGCTTTACTTCTGCTTTGTAAATACTGTGCAATTTAATGGAATATAATGCTTAATAGTGTTATCTTTTCTGAAGGAAAATTGGCAGGTGTTGCATGTGGGAGATTCATTATTTTTTGTGAACCATTGGTTGTTGAGCTTTTTATAGATCTTGGAAGAGGGGCCATAGTTCAACAGCAAAGCATACGCTTTGTGTTCAGAATGTTCCACTCTGTTCTACCATTTCCGGTTAAAAAATGCACAGCAGCAGAGCTGGTTAATACTTCTGCATGAAGCTTTGGAGAAATGTTATGTGTTAGGGTAGATCAAAGAATGATCTGAGCTGCTTCATACTTCATGCAATTCTGTGCATGTCTATGCAGATATAAGTATTGCTGAGTAAGCTTGCAAAAGACAGAGGTGCATCTAATGGTTCCATTCCTTTTGGATGAAGGGAATATTTGCAAGTGACACAGTAAGAGGTCACCCTGCAGTTTATCCTGGAGAGCAGCAAAAGGCGCACCATTTGCTTATACTGATATTTGGATAAAAGTGAATTTTTATTCAATAAATATTTTTCTGTGAACAACTTTTAAAGAGTTAACTTCACAAAGTGATGTACAAATATAAAAATGGCAGCCACCAAAACAATGCAAAATATGTTAAAAACAGCCAAACTTTTTAATCATCTTTAAAAGCCACCACAAAAGCAAGCACACTATAAATCAAATAGTAATACAGTGGTGCCCCGCAAGACGAATGCCTCGCAAGACGGAAAACCCGCTAGACGAAAGGGTTTTCCGTTTTGGAGGTGCTTCGCAAAACGAATTTCCTATGGGCTTGCTTCGCAAGACGAAAATGTCTTGCGAGTTCCTGCGGGGTTTTTTTTCTTTCCCCCCCCTTTTTCTAAGCCTTTAAGCCGCTTATCCTCTTATCTGATAAGCCGATAAGCCGCTAAAAGCTGCTAAAAGCCGCTAATAGCGCTAATCCGTCAATGGGCTTGCTTTGCAAGACGAAAAAACCGCAAGACGAAGAGACTCCCGGAACGGATTAATTTCGTCTTGCGAGGCACCACTGTACTGTTTTTGCAGCCCAGTTCAAATTAACTGTTAAAAGTGACTGAGGGAAAAATGGGTTTCCAGGGTCGGATTCAAAATATAAAGCTGGAGTTTGCCTAATATCACATGGAACTGAATTTCCTAAATGTGCTGCTGTGGCCAACAATGTCCTGTTCCGTGTGCTTGCCAATCTGATTGAAACCAGTTTTTCAGGAAGGAGTAGTACTACTTAGACCCAAACCAGACAATTGACTGATAATAATACCATGGTCAACAGTTCAGGAGAACCAATAGGGCTGTGCTCCTTGCATTCATATTCCAGTGTAAGTTAATTACCTGGCTAGCCAAGGTTGTTTCCATCACAAAACTAGGCTGTGATTATCAGCTCCACCAATTTGTATCTCTTATTATTAAAGTATTGGCAGTTATCAATTAATCTGTTCCAGCATGTGCAAAGAGTTCTTAGAACCCTGCTTCCTTGCCAGTTTGGTGCTCAGAGTAGATTGCTTTATTGTAATGTATTATTTGCTTTTGGGTATTTCCACCCCTGTCTCCAGTGGCCTTACCGTGGGCGACCTGAAGAAAAAGGCTTTCTTTATGAGATAGTGGCCAACAAAACAAGTGGCATTGATGTTGATAAATGGGATTACTTTGCCAGGTATGGACCTTGCTCATTTTAAAGCATTTGGAAGATTTATTTTATAGATAAACAATACTGGGAATATTTTACCTATAGACAAACCAATTAATATCCTATTGGTCCAAGTTAAATGGGATATCTATCTTATCATTAAAAACTCTTTATCTTTAAATACTATATGGTGTCATACCATATAAACTGTATGCTTGTTGGTTAACCCTGTATTTTGTTATATTGAAAACTAATAAAAATACTTGAAAAAAAATATCTAAGTGAGAGAGCCATGTATACAGTATGAGCAGGATATAGACTATGAATGAGGAACCTGTGGAACACCAGATGTTGTACTCTAGCTCCCATCAACCTCAGCCAGGATGGCCAATGGTTGGGGGTGGTTCAGCAACATCTGGAGGGCCCCGTTCCCCCACCTCTCATATAGAGAGATACCTAGCCCAGGTATTTCTCTGTGTACATGTACTCCATGTACTTTCTATGATTTTATTCTATGGTCTTGTGTTGTTGTAAGCCGCTGTGATATATTTTTTTGATGCAGGGCATATGAATATTTTTATAAATAAATTCAGTATCTATATGCAGCTGCTGGGGGTGACCTCTACAAGATTTGGGGCAAGGCAGCACCATATGCTGATGATACCCAGCTGTTTCTCTGTAACATATGAACCAAGAGAAGTCATGCATGTTTTAAACCAGTGCCTGGGCTAGATGAGGGCTGGATGGAAACCCTATGGATGGGCTGTTCAGCAGTTCTGATGGGTTTGCATTCCCTCTGAGGGTTGTAGTCTGGGGGTGCTCCTAGATCCATTGCTGCCACTAGAGGCTCAAGTGACCTCAGTAGCTCATGGTGCCCACGACCAACTTCGGTAGGTTTACAAACTACAACTGTTTCTGAATGAGGAAAAGAAGCAATCCTTGTTGGAGATAGCAACCACTCTCTGGAATACTCTGCTTTGGGTAATTCATGAGGTAGAGATCATAATGGCCCTTGAACAACTTTTCAGAATATATTGCCTGTGTTTTCTGGACTGTGTCTGACTCTTAGTGTTTAATTTTTTTGTTTTGTAGACTTGCTCAGTTTTATTTGTGAAATACAGCTGTGTTCTGTTTTTATCACATGTTTGTATTTTTGTTGTTTTTATGGAAACCACTTGGAGATTTTCACTATCTTAAGCAGTTTAAATAACATTTAGCAATATTTTTCAAACTAAACAGTGTCCCATTTCATACATCACTTTAAACCAAACCATGGCTGAGTGTTCGGGTTCCGAGGGAGGAGATGGCAGCTGCTTCGCTCTTCTCTAGTTCTGCTGCTGTGCTGAGCTAAGCCATGACTTGGCTTAGTGTGTCATGCAGGCGTGTGTTTTAACTCTTTCCAGTGAGCTGTCACTTCATTCTCTGGTTTAAGACCCTTGGTTTTTCCAGGAGAATTCTGAGCCAAACTATGGCTTAGTGCAGCAGAACAGCCTGGGAGGAGCAAAGCAGCCGCAGGTTCATGCTAAACCACAATTCGTCTGAAGATAATTGCAGTTGCTATTATGGAAGTGTGTCTGGAGATTATATATCTATATTTTGGGAATATGAAAAATATAGAGTCTCAACGAATCCCCTGAGAGTCCTTTTACATTATTTAAAGATGAGGTCCCCAGTGAAGCCATCTTCCTGATCCCTCCCCCTAATTTTAAAATGTCCCCCCTCCCTTCCTTGGTCCATGCAACTCCTCAATTTGTAATTGAATGACCTTACCTCCTGCCTGTTTCTGGAATATATTTAGGGATTGTCACCATCTTGGAATCCAGAACAACTTTGATTATGTACGCTTCATTAAATTTGCTCGTGTCTGTGAATTTGAGGGAAAGAAGCATATTTGTACCCGTGACAAGGTAAGCTTTCTTGAGGAAAGTAGAGAATGCCAAGTAAAGTAGTGTTGGCAGCTTGAGAACTCGCCGTTAAATTTTTGTCATTTTCGTTCTTCTATCCCCCCCCCCCTTTTCAGGAAGCTCGGGGAAACACTGTCTCATTTTGCTGTCACTCAGTGTTGAGAGGCAAATTAACCTGAAAGCTAATGTTTACACAAAGCCACCCAGTGAGCTTTATGACTGTGGGTATAATGAGTCCAGATGGAGATAAACTTGCAGTCTGCTAGTGCTGCATAAATTGAGAAGTGCACCTCCAAGTGAATAGGAGACAGTGCAATATATGTTTTCTCTGTTGTTTGAGAACAGAAAGTTTGAGAAAAAAATGGATTTTGGGAGCACGAGGTATTGGCCAAGCCATTACCTTTCATCTCAACCAGCCGCACTACATGTAGGGAGTATATAGGCTTACTATAGCATATGGTTGACCATGTGGTGATGGGTTGGAGTTGGTGTTTAAGGGCCATAAATTAGAACATAAAAAGAATCCTGCTGGATCAGACTAAAAGTATGTTGAATTCAACCTTACGTTCTTGCCATAGCCAGCCAGATGCCTGTGGGAAGCCCACAAAAGAGAACATGAGCAGAACAACATTCCCCTGCTTGTCATATGCAGAGACTGGTTTTTAGAGGCATACTGCTTCTGATAATAGAGTTAATATAGCCATCATGACTATAGGTTTAGAGACAGCGGGTAGGGAAGGTTTGGATTATCATGGAAGGCAGGTACAAATTGTCGCAGTCTATTCTCTCTAGTTCCAGCATTAATCCTCATGCATTTGGTTGCTCTACCACTGTGCTCCCTGGTCTGTGCAAGTCAAGTCACAAGCAAGGCAGAGTGCTTAAAAGCTATCTTCACTCCGGGTCTGCTTAGCGTTGCCCATCGCAAAATGAGCTTTTAAGATATGCTTTGTTTGCTGGGCAAGGCCCACTCAGCACACGGGCTGTGCAAGGTTCTGGGCCGCTCCCACGAGATAATCTGACTTCCTGGGAGATCTCACACAAGCATGCATAATCTTCCAGAGCTGGCATGTCGAACAGGCCTTGCCCAGCAAGTTAGACAGAGAGCTTAAGAGCTCTTTTCAAACCTGGTAACCCAAACGGCCCAGCACAAAATGAGCTTTTAAGGTCTTGGCCTTGGTTGCTGGGCAAGGTATGTTCAACACACTGGCTCTTTGAATCCTGGGGATGCTGTCTCTCACCCGCTTGCTGCAAGGCAGCTCCAAGGGTTGGCTGGCTATATGTGTGCGTAAGATAAGGGATTACTGTATTTTCATTAAGCGGAACAAACAGGAAATGTAACCACACAAAATTGTTTCAGTTACAAGCTTGTACAAGGCAAGGCTCAGTACAGAAGCAAGGAAAGTATCCACCAATTTATGAGCATTCTGCTCTCATGCATGCAAGGAATCATCTTATCTTAAGGATCCTGTGTTTCATGCACTGCTCCACTTTCAAGTAGCCCCCATGAGGCCTCTCCACATAAGCAGAAAGTAATCTTAATTGCAAAAATGATTACTCTAGTGTTCTGGAATACGTTTTTATATTTCTTGTGCATGGATTATTTAGAAGGGTCTAATTATTTCTATGTCCTGGAACCTGTTTTTATTTTATCCCTAGTTGTTCAGCAACAAACATCCAATTTGAGGAATTAAAGTAGAATTGGCAGATTAAGGCTGCAGTTGTATACACTCTCACCTGGCTACCGGGCTCATTAAATTTGATGCAATTTACTTCTAAGGTTATACACATAGGGTTGCACTTGGGAAGGCTCTTGATACCAGATAGTAAATGCTTTTTCTAAGAAAAAAATTTTTTTAGGCTATCTTCTATTTCTGTAAAATTGCCCTTGAATCCCTGCTACCCACTCTAGGGCATTCTTATGAGCATTTATGGGAGAGACTGTTTCATGTATTCCTGACCATTAAGTGAAAGGAGCAAAAGTTTGCTGCCAGCAAGTTTTTTTTATTTATAACAACATATACCACTATTCATAAAGAACATCACAGTGGTTTACAACAGTCGTACATAAAACAAAAACAAACATTTTGTGAAGTTCCTGCCCTGAATGTTTCATAAGTCTTGGAACTGTGGTTGTAATATAAAAGATGAATAAAATACTGTTTTTATCTTGGACTTTAGGAGGTTGGAAATTTGTATGACATGTTCCACACACGGAATTGCCTGCACCGCAGAGCCTACCAACATAAAATTAGCAACATCATTGAAACTATGTAAGTAAGTGCATGTTGATATGCCCTAGACAGGGCAGTAACCAAATAAATGCTAGCCATTCTTACGTTAGTAGATTACTTACATTTGTATGAGCTTGCATATTAATTCATTTTAATAATGTATGACTGAAGGAGGAATGCTTCTACAATGGTGCTTGTCAGCTACAAATATTTTTTAAAGAAGTGTTGCCTGATTTATTTAGGGATGTGTTTTAATGCAACCAATTTGAATTTAATTCATTTTAAAAAATTAATTAATATTAACCAATTGATCAATTAAAGGTTGTAGCCCTAGTTCTGGAGTGTCTCATTGAGAAACTCTGTTGAATGTCCCTGTCCTTCTCCTTAATCGTTTTTCAAAGTGGATTTTGATGACTAGAAAAAGTTATATGGTTTAATTTTTTTATCAACTTTGGTGTTTTTGTATTACTCTTTTTTAGCCATAGAAATAAATTTCCAAGGCCATTGTGAAATCCTTGATCTGGAGTTAATATTGAATTTATGGATTCTTCCTCATTTGTGTTGCATGTTTCATATCAGGATTACAGATGCCCTTTTGAAAGCTAACCCACATATCCGCATAAAGGGATCTGGAGGGGAAGAGTACAATATCGCTACAGCACGAGAAGACATGGAAGCCTACACTAAGCTAACAGGTATGGGCTTATTGGGCTGACACCTAAATTCTAATTGCATCAATTTAGGAAGTATTTCTCTCAGGGTACCATTTTGTTATGGCACTTAAATGAAACATAGTGCATTGCTTTATGTAAATGAATTATATATTCTGCTGTGTGCATATGAAGGAAGTGAAGTGTTTGTATCACTAGGTCTGAAGAAGTAATTATTTATTTATAGTATAAGAAACGGATTTGTTCCCCTATGGCCAAACTTCCCCCTCTCCCAGTTTTAAAATTATTTAAGGGGTGGTTCGTGAAAGAGAAAAATAAAAATTTCCTCCTTTTCCCTGTCTCTCTTTTTACCCCTCTGTAAGCCATTAAGGAGCTTATTAGCTTCGTTTAATTTGAATAGGTTGATATATAACTGCTTAGGCAAATTCTTTTTTTAATCTATTGCTCCTGTAAAAATCTTGGTAGGATGAGTATGTATTAGATGGTGTTGACTCAAAACTGAAACCAAAATGGCGGTTGACTCGGGCTAGAGCAGGGATCGGCAAACTAAGGTCCCCAGGCCGGATCAGGCCCACCTGCGTCCTAAATCCGGCCTGCGCCGTGAAGCCAGAACCCGCGGCGAAACAGACTCCTGGCGATGGTGACGGGAGGAAGAGGCCAAGCGGCGGTGGCTCTGATTGGCAGAGATATCCCCATGCTGCGCTGAGGTAAACCCAGGTGCGGTGTTTGATTGGCAGAGCCGCCACCGCTTGGCCTCTTCCTCCCACCGCTGCCGCAGCCCTGGTGCTCCTGTGGGCTAGAGAGCGGAGCGGACGAGCTCACTCTGCCTACCCACTTCATGAGAAGAAGCAGCGGCAGCGGTGGTGGCAGCCC